ACGTTGGCAAAATGCTTCACGCATTTGCAGTATACCCTTTTTCTTCTGTCTGAGCGATACAGACAGATTCTAGACTCGTCCGTGAACATCACACGTCTCCACTGATACATCCCTAACCTATTCAGGCCATGTCTGTGCATCCAGTCAAGACACACTTGCCGCCTTGGAGGTATAAGAGGTGGCTTGACATAAGGTCAGCGTGCAATGATTCTCTCAGCACACAAACGGTTCCTGGCAGTTTGAGTATTGATGGGTCTGCCATGAGTACGTAAGGTATTTGATGCAGTCTCTATAACAATCTTGAATCTGTTTTGAAAGTATGACAGTCAAATCGCCCTGTCTTGTCATGCGGTCGTTACAAACAGCTGGCAGCTCCTGGGAAGATTGGGAAACTAACCCAGTAGCAAATGTGTATAGAGACAGTTAATTGTACCCAGGGCAATGCCAAACTGCCATGCGACAGCAGATTGGCTATGACCATCCATCAACATGGCAATTTCACTACCCCTCTGAATTTGCGTTAAGTGTGGCATCTCGATCAATGGTGAATTCAAAATGCCACATGGAATCGATAGATGGTGAATTCAAAATGCTACATGGAATCGATCAATGGTGAATTCAAAATGCCACATGGAATCGATCAATGGTGAATTCAAAATGCCAACGGGGAAAATAGATGTGGCTGAAATAATTTGAAAAATCTGGCTTGGCTTGATCATGCCACATGATTTTGACTAAAGAAACTCACAAAGTCAGACAATGATATCATCACGGTTGGCTGATTTTAAAGTAGATTGTCGAGAACAGAGATATTCTTGATGTAATACCTGACCAAATATTCAATTTTTTCTTTACAGCTAAGGTGTACTGCAGGGGGGAACTTTGTGCGTTTCTCTTTTTGTTGAGTTCATATAAATGTAAATTTGGTGGTTATTTCAAGAATAATGAGGGCGAATACCATATCCGGTTCCATCCATTTATTAGTTAAAACCCTAAAGACCCTACAACATAACATACATAAAACACATAAATACGATCCCTTACAATACATTAAATATTTCACGTAATATACATTACAGATAATATCACAGTTGTAATTATCTCAAAAGAGAGTTCAATTGTTCCACAATGTACATGTATAATTACTGTACTTATATTATATAAATACAAATACTTAGTTCAACATAAAAAAGGAATAAAGCGACACACTATAGCTATGGTACGTTACACGTTATTTAATAATTCAATAGAACATTATGTAATTATAAACAATATGTAATGTGAAAACATACCCCAACAATGGGTTAAGGGTCCTAAAGTAACATTTTAGGCAAATGAATCGTAGTTTATGATGATTACTGTAATTAAAACAACGCATATATAAGTAATTACAAAGTACGGGTCATTGTATATTTCAAACCGACGGTTCACAGTATTATAAGCGTATACAATAATGAATTTTGATAAATAAGTTTCTACATCATTACAAATGACGTTACACAAGATATATTACAATAATTGATGTTTCAAAGAAATAGGTAAAATATGACTTACAATTTACGGGACAAATGTGTTCGTAAGCCGGACGGAGGTTTCACTCGTCCGTAGCAGTCAATGTCCCCTTTGTCCACTAAAAACCCCGCCAAATACAGACAAAGACCAAAGAACGAAAACGAGACAATAACTGGACATATATAGACACACTACGTCACACGGGCAAACTGGACATATAGACGCAACATATATACATACATTTATAACGATCACAGACGGCGCGAAAATCCCAACGACGCGACGCTAGACAACAGCGGCCAAAATTACATAAAACTTAACCCTATTACATAAATGCTCTTGATGTTATATTACATATTTTCCATGCTTGAAAATATTCCCCTTTGATTCCTTATTTACTGCATTTTACATTTAAGTTTATGTTGTTTGAATGTTAAAAATTATCGTTTTATTTCCTTCACACAGATAATCTTGTTGTACAATGGAGGATGCCAGGCAGATGTGGGTACACCCTGTTCTGCTGATCCCAGTAACTGTACTACTGGGGAGATTTGTAATGTTGATACCTCATTGTGTGCCTGTAACACTGCAACACATTACACCAAAGATGGAATAGTCTGTGTTATCAGTAAGTGTTATTTTTTCTATAGTTTTGTTTCAAAAAATGACAATTTTACATACGGTTAACATCACAGTGAAGATGTCAATCCATCTTATAAATTCATATATGTGTGAAGTGTTCGATGCAAAGTATATAGATGAGCTATACAGAATCTCTGTTTCATGGTGTCTGTAGGGATTCTTAATAACTGTATATCACTTAAGTAAGTTAGATTTATTTGAATTCATGATATGGTCAACTTCTAAAAATATACAGTTTACTCCTAACACTTGCCTTCCCAATTGATATTTTTCCCCTAATAAGAGATAAAAAGACTCATTTCCATATGAATAGAAAAATGCCCTGGACCTGACAAATATGGAAGAAATAATAAACACCAACTTTATTGAATACTGTAATAAATGTGCATGAAGATAGAGTCGAAACTCTCAAAATTATCTCAAAATTCAAGCAACTGCAGAAAATATTTTGACTCGTCCGAATTTCAACTGACACAAAAATAAGGTTAACAACATCAGTTTCCTGACATTGATTATGTACGGTTGAATGAAGTAGGTTTATCATAGCACAGTACACAGTGGAAGAAACTGCATAGTTCAATCTATTATTTGAAATGGCAATAAGTAAACAGAAGAAATATACTTTTCTTTCTCCTTTCATTGTTTATTCATCCAAATTACAAACTATATAATACCAGTCAGCTACATTTGTACTCACTTTTTTTCGTGTACACCCTCCTTTCTGTCAAAGTACATACAGATCCTATATTTTACAGAATAATGATAACATGAAACTAAGATTTGCTTTTGATACACAACAGGAAATAATGTATGAAGCTACAGATCATATTAACATGACTTTACAATGAATGAATAAACATATGAAAAAGGCGATGGAGAGTTTTTACCTGTTATAGAGAACATGATGGAAGTACTAGACAAATTATGCACAGATATTAAAAAAAAAATGAAAAAATACTTTCAACACTGCATTGTCCAAGCACATAGAATAGTTTCTTTCGGAATTGTTGGTTTGCTGGTTTCGTCTTCATTGTTCCAAAAGAAGCACACAAACAAGTTAACTTTTCATGTCTTGTGTAAATGTGCTACTTGTTTAACATATAAGTCACTACAACATGATGTTGACACTTGTTAAGAAGCCGATATTTAATTGAATAATTAAACTGGTAATTAACCATTAGAGACCAAGTATTGTGTGAACACTGTTATATAGCCGTGTGTTATGTTATGCACAGGTAATATTCTACTCGGTGTAGGTATTAACCAATTTCTTCAAAAGACATGCCATACAAAATAATTCCTATTTCTTTATGTTTAATGCATGTAGAAAAACTGGTACAACTTTTTGAGAAAAAAAGAATTGTTAATAAATGTACAAATAACAATAGGAAATGAGAACATATAGTTAGAGTAATTGCCACATCTTTTTGACATGAAAAAAAATCAGTTAGAAATGGAACCATCGTGGGAGGGGGGGGGCTGACCATTTAAAACATGATATATTTTGTAAAAAAGTAATGCGGTATTACTAGGATGTGCAAGTTTTGATCAGAAGGTGAGGACCCTTTAAGCTTACATCTTCAGGATACCATGTTGTTTTGGGTTTATCCATCATGTTTTGTTAACTTGTCTTGTGCCAGGTGTAAACTTTTCATGTTTTAAACTTCTTAAATTTCACCAGCGAGATTAAGCTTAAACATCATGGAATTTTAAGCAAGTGTTGCTATTTTTTTTTCCACGTCGGTCTGAAATCCAATATGGTTGCCATATATGCCATCTTGAATAAAAGCATTTTAAACATTTCTAGTTTCATCATGGGTGCCATTGAGCTGAAATTTTGTGGAAATCTTGACAAAATGAAATGATTTTCTTTCAAAATATTCCATGCTGTTTTAACTATTTGATAATTATTCCCACTAGTAATACTTCTAGTGCTGTTATATAATTTACAAGTCTGATGTATTCAAATGACCGTTAAAGCTGATGTGCCTCCTATTTTAAATCTTTTGGTGTTAATGTTGTTTACTCTTGTTATAAATAAAAACATGACTTATTTGTGAAATTAGGTGCATTGTTTGAAGGAAAAATTTGAAAAATTCCAGAAAGAATGATTGGATTTTACCCAAATTTGGTCTGAAGCCAAATGAATAAACTTTGTTCAGACGATGGGTTTTTTTTAGCTGGAACAGGAGGGGTGAGGCCCAATAAGGAAAATAGAGAAAATTACTTTAAATCCTTCTCCTCCTGTAGGAATGATTGGATATTGCTCAAATTTGGTCTGAAGCATTTTTGGGTAAAGATAATTAAAATATTGTTTCTTAGCCCCCAGGACCTAAGGAACAGGACCAGAAAGGGGAAGTTTTACAACTTTCTAGCTCACCTGGCTAAGGGCCAAGATAAGGACAAAAGAAAAAACAACTCCTTTTTATTAACCAAAAAGCATAGAAGGATATTTAGCTGGTACTGTTGGCTCCTAGAATGAAGCGAAACAGAGGTTGCAAAAAGAAATTTCTTTAACCGATATTCAAGGTCAGAAGGGTAAAATTTTTATTAATATCTTTAAATGACTTCTTTAAAATCTATCTTGTTCTTTAGGAATTACAAGATAATGTCCAAATTTTTCTCCAAAACATGTTTGGGTAATGGAAAATCAGTTCGGTAAAACAATGGGTGTCAGTCTCTTGGGGCCAGATGGGCGGGGCCAAATAATGGAAATCTATGAAATTCTTTAAAATCTGTTTTGTTCTTTGGGAATGACAGGATATTGTCCATATTTGTCTGAAGCATGTTTGGATGTAGGGAAAGTAATTTTGTATAAATGGTGAGTCTCGGCACCTTGGGGCCAGATGGGTAGATCCCAACAGGGACAATCTATGAATTTCTTTAAAATCTGTATTGTTCTTCGGGAATGAAAGAATATTGTCCATATTTTGTCCACCCTCCATAAGATGCCCCTTGGAACTGGTGGTCTTTGCTTTTGTTGAGGTAGATATAGGTACCATCTAAGATAAGAATGACCTGATCACCATAAAGTACTTTGGTACATACGGTATTGTATGTGACTTGGTGTGATATATGGGCTGTACCAAGGTTATGGGGACAACTAAAGTGTTCAAAATATCAACAATTTTGTGAAAAAATCTTAACAGTGTGGCTATGGAGAGGTTAGTAAGCATGGTCATTTGGTTCCATGACAGATTAGTTTTAAGTTTTACCCCAACATACATAAACAGGTCTATTGCACTTGCACTTGAAGCTGAAAACAAGCTCAGATTCACACATGCCATACATGTCCTTAAATTGACTAAAGGTCAAGCCAGTCCATTGTAAATCTTAATTCTGGGGAATTCTCATGTTTGGTTACTTGATGTACAATTTCAAGCAAATCATTGATCACAACTGAGGAAATTAATCCACTCGGTTTACTTAGCATACTTGTTTACTGATTTTTGTATCAGAATGTAGAATGCTTCTATGAGATGTTCAGAATGTACACAAACATCAGGAGGACACCAAAGTGAATATTTATGGTTAAGAGAGTGACAAAAAGACTAAGGAATACTTTTACAGTCATCATTATACTCTAAACATAATGAACACTTCCAATGTGATGAGGAAGCATGTTTCAAATCTTATATGAGGAAGAGGTAGAAGTGTAGGGTTTATTTCATTGTCAATTAGATTATCCTCAGTCTCCTCAAAAGAAACCTTAGAATCATTATTACGCTGAGTGTCGTCCTATACCAGGTACACAATACGATAAAATGTGTACCTGGTGGAAAATTGGCCATCAGCTGCTTACCTCAGCTTCAGCTTGAATGTTGTTATGCAAGGAGATATACTGCCTCCTTATTGATTCATTAATAATGCACAGAATGCCACTTTGATATACATATCATATTTTAATAAACAAGAACAAGTATGGACCATGTGTGTCTTTTCTGTTTATAATCCAATGAGGCAAAATGTGATTTGATATCATTTTCAATGAAAGGCACATAGTAAAAATGAATGAAATTAAAATAAACATATATTTGGATAAAAAATAACATTCTGAATAAAATGTCAGAAATAAGAGTAGTTTACTGTTTCTGCCATCACAAGAAAATCTGTCCTTGGAACTTACTGGTCCCAGAATTTCATGAAATTTTCAATATTTTAGGTACATATATTTGGCCAAAGAAGGTGTAAATATTTTAGGTGAACAATAATGTTAAGGTAGTCAAACAGTTTTCCAAAAACTTGAATTTGTTGAAATTTTTATGAAAAATCATGATTCTTTCCCAGTTAAACTTCCATAACTTTTTTTATTGGTATTATTTGGCTTTACATTTGAGTTCAAAACATGCAGTAGACTTGAATCAAGAGGATTTGAACCAATCTAGTGGTTTATTATAGCTTTTTGAACAAGTTTTAGAGTAAGATGTGCACCCTGGCTTACACACATGACATGGATCATAAAATAAGTCAAATTACAGGCCATAGGTGAATTTTGGATTTTTAGGTCATCTGACCCGAAGGGTCCGATGACCTATAGTCATCATGCTTCGTCCGTCGTCGTCCGCCGTGCGCCGTCCGTAAACTTTTCATTCAAACAACTTCTTCTCAAATACTAGAAGGTCTAGGGGGCTAATACTTGGCACAGAGGATACTGGCATGGAGCTCTACCAAGTTTGTTCAAATGAATGACCTTGACCCACTTTAAAGGTCACAGGGGTCAAATATGTTAAAATCTTTAAACAACTTCTTCTCATTAACCAAAAGGCTCAGAGTGTAGATATTGGGCCTGTGACATGCTGGGATAAAGTGCTACTAAGTTTGTTCAAGTGAATGACCTTGACCTACGTTCAAGGTCACAGGGGCCAAATATGTTGAAATCTTTCAACGACTTCTCCTCAATAACCAAAAGGCTCAGATTGCTGATATTGTGCCTGTGGCATGCTGGGATGAAGGGCTATCAAGTTTGTTCAAATGAATGACCTTGAACAACTTTCAATGTCACAGGGGTCAAATATGTTAAAATCTTTAAATAACTTCTTCTCAAATACTAGAAGGCCTAGGGGGCTAATACTTGGCCCATAGCATGCTGGCATGGAGCCCTACAAAGTTTGTTCAAATGAATGACCTTGGCCCACTTTCAAGGTCACAGGGGTCAAATATGTTAAAATATACAAAGGACTTCATCTCAATAAGCAAAAGTCTGAGTGCCGATATTGGGTCTGTAGCATGCTGGGAGGAAAGGCTACCAAGTTTATTCAAATGAATGACCTCGACCCACTTTCAAGGTCACAGGGGTCAAATATGTTAAAATATACAAACGACTTCTTCTCAACAAGCAAAAGTCCATGAATGCTGATATTGGGCCCGTAAGATGCTTGGAGGAGAGGCTACCAAGTTTGTTCAAATGAATGACCTCAACCCACTTTCTAGGTTTGGCTTGCTTTTTGTCAGATGACCGTTAAGGCCCATGGGCCTCTTGTTTGAACATACATTCTTAGGAGCTTACTGGGATAATGCAAATAACACACAGTAAAAATTGAATCAGGATGTGGGCAATATTACATGTACTGTGAAACAGGTCCTCTGATCAAAAGCATCTTTGGATGAAGGGAACTTTTTTTTTATAAACATTGCATCTAAACCCCCTTGTGGAAGAGTGGAAAGGCCTTCTAGGGGAAAAAGACACAAATATTTCAAATACTTGTTTTTTAAAGAAGCAATTTCAGCAAACTAAACCATACAAGCAAATACACCCTCTATACATCTTGCTTTTTAAATATGATTTCCTTTATTCTTCACTAATTCTTGTATTTCTTTTTCCAGGAATCAAGGCTGGAGAGACAGGCTGTACTGGTATAACCAATGAGTGTACAGACATGTCTACCTGTGATGGTAGTACATGTACCTGTATTGCCAACTATTATGATAGTGGTGACACCTGTGTAGCAAGTAAGTATGTAGTACAGCTGCACTAACACCGAGGGAGGGTGCTTCCTATGAGATTATAAAAATGCTTCAACTAATATCAAAGAAATGTATTGAGTATTTAAACCTTTAACACAACACTTGACTGTTGTCTATGGAGGCATGGTGGTCAAGTGGTAGGACATTGGACTGGTGATCTAAGGATTGCTCGTTTGACTCCAGAGAATGAACACTGTGTTAGATAATTCATGCTTTGCTCTTTCTAATGGAGAATACAGATTAATGGGCAGTACTAGAAATATGGTATGCTAGTTGTAAGCATGGAATGGCAACTCTTACTGTGTGCTTCCCAGAGGGTTGAGAAAGGTTATTTCTTGTAGCAAAAAACCTGCTACCCACAGATGATAATTTGTGAAAGGCTTTGAGACAATTGTTGCTAAGATGGAGTAGTTTATTAAGGAAGCTTGAGTTATTATTAACATGATCTTAACATAGATATCATTATAATATTGTGTCTGGACCAATTCTAAATTGGAAGACAACTTGTGAAGACTAATTACATTCTGGATTGTAAAAAATCATTAACATGAATGTTCTTTAAAATGACATGTTTTACCGAAAATATCCCATTTCTGTTAGAGTTTAGTTGCCACTGGCGTATTAAAAGGAATATCAAATACACTAAAAGGTAGCCAAGAGTAATTCTATTGACCTCAAGGTATTTTAAAGTAAAAGAGAAAGATATCAATTTGTTTATTTGACCTTTCCACATTTGAGTCATTGATTTGTTTGTGATGTCATAATGTAATCAATTCATCCATTCTGTTCATATTCAATGGGAGATAATATTATGTTTGTTAAGAAGGAATTTGAAAACCTGGAAGATCCAAAGTGTTGAAATGGGGGCAGCAAATCTATTCTGGTGTCTTCAACATTTCCTTAGTAGAATTCATAGAAGAAATATAAAAGATGTTAATTCTGCAGGCCCAGGAACCAGTCTTAATCACTTTCTATGATCATGCAGTGGAGTACAGCAAGCTACATTAGCTAGGATTCTCTATTGTATCTCAACAGAAAACATAAGACAAACCATCCCCTATCATCAGGGCCATAGGTAGTCACAGGTTATGCACTGAGATATAACAGGGATATTCTTTCCTCTCCTCCTGCACATGTCATCTGTCATGAGATGCATCATATTAAGGAATATGGAGCCTGATGGATTTGCAGAAGTCCATAGAACATTATCAGTTTTGACAGGAACAAAATAGTTTTGATATGTTTCTCCATAAGGCAGTATATGATTCACATATGTAAGTGATCCATTACCCTGTAAATATATTCTCTATCTACTTGCTAGTAATCAGCAAAGCTCTACCAGTGTTTGTGTGGCAGGATTCTTTATAGATAGGACATCATGTTTTCTCTAACTTCGTTAATAGGGCTGGCCGATATAATCATTGGCCCTCATAATCATAAGATGTGTTAGTTCGTAAGTCATACTATTTAACACAGTTTAACTTGAGAAGATTATTCTAATTAGTACTAACCTAACATAGATGATATATAACTAGTGAAAAATAGTAGTACACAGTTATAACAAACATGATTGAAAAAATATCATGGACATAACATACTGTTTTTTACTGACAAAGTGCTACGTTACTGCCAAGGCTTGCTTGGGGTTGCTTAATTATAAGAGCATTGCCCTTTCTTGAAATTTTATGTCTGCAGCATATGTTTGCTTGCATTTAAATTGGGACATACAAAGAGGATGTGCGGTACTGTATCAAAGTCAGGGCCCATAACCTCTAAATTACTTAGGTAATGCCCTTTGTTAAAATTTTATGTTCAAAGCATAACTGTGAATGCATAAACATTGGTCATGCAATACAATGTGCAGTGTACCGATCAGGGTCTGTAATCCTTTAAATACAAAGTTAACTTCCTTTGTTCAATTGTTTTGTCCCGAGTATAACTTTACTTGCGTTTAAAATTGGTATGATTAAACTTGGTGTATTCATTTATCAAACAGGCGAGATGTGCAGGGTACCAAAGTCAGGGCACCAACCCCTTAATTACAGAATTATTGCCCAATGATAACATTTTTTTCCAATTAAATTGATTTTGGGAAGCAAATATCAGATTCACCGATAATTTTGTTTTAAGCTCTTTCTATTTGATGTGAGGGCATTATTATAGTGTTAGCCATGTTTGTTTGTCATGTTCCCATACAAGGCATCAGTTTCAAATGAATGTCATATATTTATAATCTCTCAACCGATTTGGTTTTTATTTACCTCATAGTGTCATTACATCAAATTTTACACCTAATGAGATTCTGATTAGCATAGAAGGGAGGACATTTATGTTCAATAGACATTTTCTAATTGAGTAAAGTGGCAAAAGGTATGAATAATGAAGGTCATTAAGATCAGACAGATTAATGTAATGATAAGTAAGACATGGTTAAATGTGATAACTAGACTAATTTTGGAAGTCATGAATATTGGCAACATCCACATTAATAGCTTGCTAGATGAAATATGTTTACAAACATTCTATTTTGATATCAGGTTTATGATTAATGTCCATTTGATCTGCTTGATGTGAACCCCTTTAGACTTGTGAGAGGAGATATTGGTGATGTAGGGCAGAACTGTTCTACAGTTTATATCCTTGGTGATATGATGTACAAATCATAAAGTATTTAATCTATTGATATTATTCATATTAGGAATCAAGGCTGGAGAGACAGGTTGTGCTGGTGGTATAACCAATGAGTGTACAGACATGTCTACCTGTAATAGTGGTACATGTACCTGTATTGCCAACTATTATGATGGTGGTGACACCTGTGTAGCAAGTAAGTGTGTAGTACAGCTGCACTAACACCGAGGGAGGGTGCTTCCTATGAGATTATAAAAATGCTTCAACTAATATCAAAGAAATGTATTGAGTATTTAAACCTTTAACACAACACTTGACTGTTGTCTATGGAGGCATGGTGGTCAAGTGGTAGGACATTGGACTGGTGATCTAAGGATTGCTCGTTTGACTCCAGAGAATGAACACTGTGTTAGATAATTCATGCTTTGCTCTTTCTAATGGAGAATAGAGATTAATGGGCAGTACTAGAAATATGGTATGCTAGTTGTAAGCATGGAATGGCAACTCTTACTGTGTGCTTCCCAGAGGGTTGAGAAAGGTTATTTCTTGTAGCAAAAAACCTGCTACCCACAGATGATAATTTGTGAAAGGCTTTGAGACAATTGTTGCTAAGATGGAGTAGTTTATTAAGGAAGCTTGAGTTATTATTAACATGATCTTAACATAGATATCATTATAATATTGTGTCTGGACCAATTTTAAATTGGAAGACAACTTGTGAAGACTAATTACATTCTGGATTGTAAAAAATCATTAACATGAATGTTCTTTAAAATGACATGTTTTACCGAAAATATCCCATTTCTGTTAGAGTTTAGTTGCCACTGGCGTATTAAAAGGAATATCAAATACACTAAAAGGTAGCCAAGAGTAATTCTATTGACCTCAAGGTATTTTAAAGTAAAAGAGAAAGATATCAATTTGTTTATTTGACCTTTCCACATTTGAGTCATTGATTTGTTTGTGATGTCATAATGTAATCAATTCATCCATTCTGTTCATATTCAATGGGAGATAATATTATGTTTGTTAAGAAGGAATTTGAAAACCTGGAAGATCCAAAGTGTTGAAATGGGGGCAGCAAATCTATTCTGGTGTCTTCAACATTTCCTTAGTAGAATTCATAGAAGAAATATAAAAGATGTTAATTCTGCAGGCCCAGGAACCAGTCTTAATCACTTTCTATGATCATGCAGTGGAGTACAGCAAGCTACATTAGCTAGGATTCTCTATTGTATCTCAACAGAAAACATAAGACAAACCATCCCCTATCATCAGGGCCATAGGTAGTCACAGGTTATGCACTGAGATATAACAGGGATATTCTTTCCTCTCCTCCTGCACATGTCATCTGTCATGAGATGCATCATATTAAGGAATATGGAGCCTGATGGATTTGCAGAAGTCCATAGAACATTATCAGTTTTGACAGGAACAAAATAGTTTTGATATGTTTCTCCATAAGGCAGTATATGATTCACATATGTAAGTGATCCATTACCATGTAAATATATTCTGTATCTACTTGCTAGTAATCAGCAAAGCTCTACCAGTGTTTGTGTGGCAGGATTCTTTATAGATAGGACATCATGATATATTTTCTCTAACTTCGTTAATAGGGCTGGCCGATATAATCATTGGCCCTCATAATCATAAGATGTGTTAGTTTGTAAATCATACTATTTAACACAGTTTAACTTGAGAAGATTATTCTAATTAGTACTATCCTAACATAGGTGATATATAACTAGTGTAAAATAATAGTACACAGTTATAACAAACATGATTGAAAAAATATCATGGACATAACATACTGTTTTTTACTGACAAAGTGCTACGTTCCACTGCCAAGGCTTGCTTGGGGTTGCTTAAAAGAATTATAAGAGCATTGCCCTTTCTTGTTTAATTCAAAAATTGTATGTCTGCAGCATATGTTTGCTTGCATTTAAATTGGGACATACAAAGAGGATGTGCTGGTACTGTGCCGGGAAAAGTCAGGGCCCATAACCTCTAAATTACTTAGGTAATGCCCTTTGTTAAAATTTTATGTTCAAAGCATAACTGTGGATGCATAAACATTGGTCATGCAATACAATGTGCAGTGTACCAAAATGTGAGAGGATACAAGGGTCTGTAATCCTTTAAATACAAAGTTGCCAACTTCCTTTGTTCAATTGTTTTGTCCCGTACTGTACCAAAGTATAACTTTACTTGCGTTTAAAATTGGTATGATTAAACTTGGTGTATTCATTTATCAAACAGGCGAGATGTGCAGGGTACCAAAGTCAGGGCACCAACCCCTTAATTACAGAATTATTGCCCATTGATAACATTTTGTTTCCAATTAAATTGATTTTGGGAAGCATTTATCAGATTCACCGATAATTTTGTTTTAAGCTCTTTCTATTCGATGTGAGGGCATTATTATAGTGTTAGCTGTGTTTGTTTGTCATGTCCCATACAAGGCATTGGTTTCAAATGAATGTCATATATTTATAATCTCTCAACCGATTTGGTTTTTATTTACCTCATAGTGTCATTACATCAAATTTTACACCTAATGAGATTCTGATTAGCATAGAAGGGAGGACATTTATGTTCTATAGTCATTTTCTAATTGAGTAAAGTGGCAAAATGTATGAATAATAAAGGTCATTAAGATCAGACAGATTAATGTAATGATAAGTAAGACATGGTTAAATGTGATGACTAGACTAATTTTGGAAGTCATGAAAATTGGCAACATCCACATTAATAGCTTGCTAGATGAAATATGTTTACAAACATCTTTATTTTGATATCAGGTTTGTGATTAATGTCCATTTGATCTGCTTGATGTGAACCCCTTTAGACTTGTGAGAGGAGATATTGGTGATGTAGGGCAGAACTGTTCTACAGTTTATATCCTTGGTGATATGATGTACAAATCATAAAGTATTTAATCTATTGATATTATTCATATTAGGAATCAAGGCTGGAGAGACAGGTTGTACTGGTGTTATACCCAATGAGTGTACAGACATGTCTACCTGTAATAGTGGTACATGTACCTGTATTGCCAACTATTATGATGGTGGTGACACCTGTGTAGCAAGTAAGTGTGTAGTACAGCTGCACTAACACCGAGGGAGGGTGCTTCCTATGAGATTATAAAAATGCTTCAACTAATATCAAAGAAATGTATTGAGTATTTAAACCTTTAACACAACACTTGACTGTTGTCTATGGAGGCATGGTGGTCAAGTGGTAGGACATTGGACTGGTGATCGAAGGATTGCTCGTTTGACTCCAGAGAATGAACACTGTGTTAGATAATTCATGCTTTGTTCTTTCTGATGGAGAATAGAGATTAATGGGCAGTACTAGAAATATGGTATGCTAGTTGTAAGCATGGAATGGCAACTCTTACTGTGTGCTTCCCAGAGGGTTGAGAAAGGTTATTTCTTGTAGCAAAAAACCTACTACCCACAGATGATAATTTGTGAAAGGCTTTGAGACAATTGTTGCTAAGATGGAGTAGTTTATTAAGGAAGCTTGAGTTATTATTAACATGATCTTACATAGATATCATTATAATATTGTGTCTGGATCAATTCTAAATTGGAAGACAACTTGTGAAGACTAATTACATTTTGGATTGTAAAAAATCATTAATATGAATGTTCTTTAAAATGACACGTTTTACTGAAAATGTCCCATTTCTGTTAGAGCTTAGTTGCCACTGGCGTATTAAAAGGACTATCAAATACACTAAAAGGTAGCCAAGAGTAATTCTATTGACCTCAAGGTATTTTAAAGTAAAAGAGAAAGATATCAATTTGTTTATTTGACCTTTCCACATTTGAGTCATTGATTTGTTTGTGATGTCATAATGTAATCAATTCATCCATTCTGTTCATATTCAATGGGAGATAATATTATGTTTGTTAAAAAGGAATTTGAAAACCTGGAAGATCCAAAGTGTTGAAATGGGGGCAGCAAATCTATTCTGGTGTCTCCAACGTTTCCTTAGTAGAATTCATAGAAGAAATATAAAAGATGTTAATTCTGCAGGCCCAGGAACCAGTCTCAATCACTTTCTATGATCATGCAGTGGAGTACAGTAAGCTACATTAGCTATGATTCTCTATTGTATCTCAACAGAAAACATAAGACAAACCATCCCCTATCATCAGGGCCATAGGTAGTCACAGGTTATGCACTGAGATATAACAGGGATATTCTTTCCTCTCCTCCTGCACATGTCATCTGTCATGAGATGCATCATATTAAGGAATATGGAGCCTGATGGATTTGCAGAAGTCCATAGAACATTATTAGTTTTGACAGGAACAAAATAGTTTTGATATGTTTCTCCATAAGGCAGTATATGATTCACATATGTAAGTGATCCATTACCATGTAAATATATTCTGTATCTACTTGCTAGTAATCAGCAAAGCTCTACCAGTGTTTGTGTGGCAGGATTCTTTATAGATAGGACATCATGTTTGATCTAACTTCGTTAATAGGGCTGGCCGATATAATCATTGGCCCTCATAATCATAAGATGTGTTAGTTCATAAGTCATACTATTTAACACAGTTTAACTTGAGAAGATTATTCTAATTAGTACTAACCTAACATAGGTGATATATAACTAGTGTAGAATAGTAGTACACAGTTATAACAAACATGATAGAAAAAATATCATGGACATAACATACTGTTTTTTACTGACAAAAGCTTTACTAAAATATTACTTGTGAAAATTGTAATCCACAATAAATTGGGAGGAGCTCACACTTCATTTCTACACTGTAATTTTGATATGTTTCATTTGAAAAGAGGAATTATTTTGCTGATTGGAAAAGTAAAAGAATGTTGTGGTAACTTTTGAAGAGGAGTTGTTTCCCCTTTTTGTGTAAGCAATGACTGTTGACCTTGTTTAATGTCAAATAACTGTGGATAAGATCCATACATTGGTGCACATAGGTTATTCCCGGTGATTAAATCTCTTTGATACTGCTTTCGTATTTATATCTGATGTAATTATGATATAGAGATTATGTTTACTGTGATGTACATTGTACCTGTTCTGTTTAACCAGAGGTTGTAGCCAATGGTAATTGTGCTGGTTTACCTACTGATGCATGTCGGGAAAACTCTGTCTGTACCAATAATAAGTGTACCTGTAACACTGGTTACTATGACAATGATGGCAGTGGAAGTTCTGGTGTCTGTGTGCAAAGTAAGTTATTAATCTCATAGAATTTTAGGATGAAAGCAAAGCCTTCCTCATGACGATTCATTTGTGATCCCAACAGTCAATGACTGGAAGGGTATATTTGTCAGTCTGCGTCACGATTTCTGAACAATTACTGGTGGTTCCTTTTTGGACTGATCAAACTGAATCATCATAAACTACTTTCTTTTCAGGATTGCTTGCTTTGAATTGCTCTAAATGGTGGTGTCCTGAAGGTTGAATGGTCCCAATCACCATCGCTGAACAATAACGCAAATTCAAGACGACCAATCAAACTGAAACTTGACAACACTGCTCTCTTATGAGTTGTGCTCACTTTGTATTGGTTTTTGGGTCAAAATGTGAGAGGTCAATATTACTGTTACAATGAATTGAAAATAAGTTTCTTTGGTATATTTACCCATTTATTTATCAGAATCAATTGACTGAAAAAATCCAGAACTTCACAAAGTGCTACGTTACTGCCAAGGCTTGCTTGGGGTTGCTTAATTATAAGAGCATTGCCCTTTCTTAAAATTGTATGTCTGCAGCATATGTTTGCTTGCATTTAAATTGGGACATACAAAGAGGATGTGCGGTACTGTACCAAAGTCAGGGCCCATAACCTCTAAATTACTTAGGTAATGCCCTTTGTTAAAATTTTATGTTCAAAGCATAACTGTGGATGCATAAACATTGGTCATGCAATACAATGTGCAGTGTACCGATCAGGGTCTGTAATCCTTTAAATACAAAGTAAACTTCCTTTGTTCAATTGTTTTGTCCCGAGTATAACTTTACTTGCGTTTAAAATTGGTATGATTAAACTTGGTGTATTCCTTTATCAAACAGGCGAGATGTGCAGGGTACCAAAGTCAGGGCACCAACCCCTTAATTACAGAATTATTGCCCATTGATAACATTTTGTTTCCAATTAAATTGATTTTGGGAAGCATTTATCAGATTCACCGATAATTTTGTTTTAAGCTCTTTCTATTCGATGTGAGGGCATTATTATAGTGTTAGCTGTGTTTGTTTGTCATGTCCCATACAAGGCATTGGTTTCAAATGAATGTCATATATTTATAATCTCTCAACCGATTTGGTTTTATTTACCTCATAGTGTCATTACATCAAATTTTACACCTAATGAGATTCTGATTAGCATAGAAGGGAGGACATTTATGTTCTATAGTCATTTTCTAATTGAGTAAAGTGGCAAAATGTATGAATAATAAAGGTCATTAAGATCAGACAGATTAATGTAATGATAAGTAAGACATGGTTAAATGCGATGACTAGACTAATTTTGGAAGTCATGAAAATTGGCAACATCCACATTAATAGCTTGTTAGATGAAATATGTTTACAAACATCTTTATTTTGATATCAGGTTTGTGATTAATGTCCATTTGATCTGCTTGATGTGAACCCCTTTAGACTTGTGAGAGGAGATATTGGTGATGTAGGGCAGAACTGTTCTACAGTTTATATCCTTGGTGATATGATGTACAAATCATAAAGTATTTAATCTATTGATATTATTCATATTAGGAATCAAGGCTGGAGAGACAGGTTGTACTGGTGTTATACCCAATGAGTGTACAGACATGTCTACCTGTAATAGTGGTACATGTACCTGTATTGCCAACTATTATGATGGTGGTGACACCTGTGTAGCAAGTAAGTGTGTAGTACAGCTGCACTAACACCGAGGGAGGGTGCTTCCTATGAGATTATAAAAATGCTTCAACTAATATCAAAGAAATGTATTGAGTATTTAAACCTTTAACACAACACTTGACTGTTGTCTATGGAGGCATGGTGGTCAAGTGGTAGGACATTGGACTGGTGATCGAAGGATTGCTCGTTTGACTCCAGAGAATGAACACTGTGTTAGATAATTCATGCTTTGTTCTTTCTGATGGAGAATAGAGATTAATGGGCAGTACTAGAAATATGGTATGCTAGTTGTAAGCATGGAATGGCAACTCTTACTGTGTGCTTCCCAGAGGGTTGAGAAAGGTTATTTCTTGTAGCAAAAAACCTACTACCCACAGATGATAATTTGTGAAAGGCTTTGAGACAATTGTTGCTAAGATGGAGTAGTTTATTAAGGAAGCTTGAGTTATTATTAACATGATCTTTCATAGATATCATTATAATATTGTGTCTGGATCAATTCTAAATTGGAAGACAACTTGTGAAGACTAATTACATTTTGGATTGTAAAAAATCATTAATATGAATGTTCTTTAAAATGACACGTTTTACTGAAAATGTCCCATTTCTGTTAGAGCTTAGTTGCCACTGGCGTATTAAAAGGACTATCAAATACACTAAAAGGTAGCCAAGAGTAATTCTATTGACCTCAAGGTATTTTAAAGTAAAAGAGAAAGATATCAATTTGTTTATTTGACCTTTCCACATTTGAGTCATTGATTTGTTTGTGATGTCATAATGTAATCAATTCATCCATTCTGTTCATATTCAATGGGAGATAATATTATGTTTGTTAAAAAGGAATTTGAAAACCTGGAAGATCCAAAGTGTTGAAATGGGGGCAGCAAATCTATTCTGGTGTCTCCAACGTTTCCTTAGTAGAATTCATAGAAGAAATATAAAAGATGTTAATTCTGCAGGCCCAGGAACCAGTCTCAATCACTTTCTATGATCATGCAGTGGAGTACAGTAAGCTACATTAGCTATGATTCTCTATTGTATCTCAACAGAAAACATAAGACAAACCATCCCCTATCATCAGGGCCATAGGTAGTCACAGGTTATGCACTGAGATATAACAGGGATATTCTTTCCTCTCCTCCTGCACATGTCATCTGTCATGAGATGCATCATATTAAGGAATATGGAGCCTGATGGATTTGCAGAAGTCCATAGAACATTATTAGTTTTGACAGGAACAAAATAGTTTTGATATGTTTCTCCATAAGGCAGTATATGATTCACATATGTAAGTGATCCATTACCATGTAAATATATTCTGTATCTACTTGCTAGTAATCAGCAAAGCTCTACCAGTGTTTGTGTGGCAGGATTCTTTATAGATAGGACATCATGTTTGATCTAACTTCGTTAATAGGGCTGGCCGATATAATCATTGGCCCTCATAATCATAAGATGTGTTAGTTCATAAGTCATACTATTTAACACAGTTTAACTTGAGAAGATTATTCTAATTAGTACTAACCTAACATAGGTGATATATAACTAGTGTAGAATAGTAGTACACAGTTATAACAAACATGATAGAAAAAATATCATGGACATAACATACTGTTTTTTACTGACAAAAGCTTTACTAAAATATTACTTGTGAAAATTGTAATCCACAATAAATTGGGAGGAGCTCACACTTCATTTCTACACTGTAATTTTGATATGTTTCATTTGAAAAGAGGAATTATTTTGCTGATTGGAAAAGTAAAAGAATGTTGTGGTAACTTTTGAAGAGGAGTTGTTTCCCCTTTTTGTGTAAGCAATGACTGTTGACCTTGTTTAATGTCAAATAACTGTGGATAAGATCCATACATTGGTGCACATAGGTTATTCCCGGTGATTAAATCTCTTTGATACTGCTTTCGTATTTATATCTGATGTAATTATGATATAGAGATTATGTTTACTGTGATGTACATTGTACCTGTTCTGTTTAACCAGAGGTTGTAGCCAATGGTAATTGTGCTGGTTTACCTACTGATGCATGTCGGGAAAACTCTGTCTGTACCAATAATAAGTGTACCTGTAACACTGGTTACTATGACAATGATGGCAGTGGAAGTTCTGGTGTCTGTGTGCAAAGTAAGTTATTAATCTCATAGAATTTTAGGATGAAAGCAAAGCCTTCCTCATGACGATTCATTTGTGATCCCAACAGTCAATGACTGGAAGGGTATATTTGTCAGTCTGCGTCACGATTTCTGAACAATTACTGGTGGTTCCTTTTTGGACTGATCAAACTGAATCATCATAAACTACTTTCTTTTCAGGATTGCTTGCTTTGAATTGCTCTAAATGGTGGTGTCCTGAAGGTTGAATGGTCCCAATCACCATCGCTGAACAATAACGCAAATTCAAGACGACCAATCAAACTGAAACTTGACAACACTGCTCTCTTATGAGTTGTGCTCACTTTGTATTGGTTTTTGGGTCAAAATGTGAGAGGTCAATATTACTGTTACAATGAATTGAAAATAAGTTTCTTTGGTATATTTACCCATTTATTTATCAGAATCAATTGACTGAAAAAATCCAGAACTTCACAAAGTGCTACGTTACTGCCAAGGCTTGCTTGGGGTTGCTTAATTATAAGAGCATTGCCCTTTCTTAAAATTGTATGTCTGCAGCATATGTTTGCTTGCATTTAAATTGGGACATACAAAGAGGATGTGCGGTACTGTACCAAAGTCAGGGCCCATAACCTCTAAATTACTTAGGTAATGCCCTTTGTTAAAATTTTATGTTCAAAGCATAACTGTGGATGCATAAACATTGGTCATGCAATACAATGTGCAGTGTACCGATCAGGGTCTGTAATCCTTTAAATACAAAGTAAACTTCCTTTGTTCAATTGTTTTGTCCCGAGTATAACTTTACTTGCGTTTAAAATTGGTATGATTAAACTTGGTGTATTCCTTTATCAAACAGGCGAGATGTGCAGGGTACCAAAGTCAGGGCACCAACCCCTTAATTACAGAATTATTGCCCATTGATAACATTTTGTTTCCAATTAAATTGATTTTGGGAAGCATTTATCAGATTCACCGATAATTTTGTTTTAAGCTCTTTCTATTCGATGTGAGGGCATTATTATAGTGTTAGCTGTGTTTGTTTGTCATGTCCCATACAAGGCATTGGTTTCAAATGAATGTCATATATTTATAATCTCTCAACCGATTTGGTTTTTATTTACCTCATAGTGTCATTACATCAAATTTTACACCTAATGAGATTCTGATTAGCATAGAAGGGAGGACATTTATGTTCTATAGTCATTTTCTAATTGAGTAAAGTGGCAAAATGTATGAATAATAAAGGTCATTAAGATCAGACAGATTAATGTAATGATAAGTAAGACATGGTTAAATGCGATGACTAGACTAATTTTGGAAGTCATGAAAATTGGCAACATCCACATTAATAGCTTGTTAGATGAAATATGTTTACAAACATCTTTATTTTGATATCAGGTTTGTGATTAATGTCCATTTGATCTGCTTGATGTGAACCCCTTTAGACTTGTGAGAGGAGATATTGGTGATGTAGGGCAGAACTGTTCTACAGTTTATATCCTTGGTGATATGATGTACAAATCATAAAGTATTTAATCTATTGATATTATTCATATTAGGAATCAAGGCTGGAGAGACAGGTTGTACTGGTGTTATACCCAATGAGTGTACAGACATGTCTACCTGTAATAGTGGTACATGTACCTGTATTGCCAACTATTATGATGGTGGTGACACCTGTGTAGCAAGTAAGTGTGTAGTACAGCTGCACTAACACCGAGGGAGGGTGCTTCCTATGAGATTATAAAAATGCTTCAACTAATATCAAAGAAATGTATTGAGTATTTAAACCTTTAACACAACACTTGACTGTTGTCTATGGAGGCATGGTGGTCAAGTGGTAGGACATTGGACTGGTGATCGAAGGATTGCTCGTTTGACTCCAGAGAATGAACACTGTGTTAGATAATTCATGCTTTGTTCTTTCTGATGGAGAATAGAGATTAATGGGCAGTACTAGAAATATGGTATGCTAGTTGTAAGCATGGAATGGCAACTCTTACTGTGTGCTTCCCAGAGGGTTGAGAAAGGTTATTTCTTGTAGCAAAAAACCTACTACCCACAGATGATAATTTGTGAAAGGCTTTGAGACAATTGTTGCTAAGATGGAGTAGTTTATTAAGGAAGCTTGAGTTATTATTAACATGATCTTTCATAGATATCATTATAATATTGTGTCTGGATCAATTCTAAATTGGAAGACAACTTGTGAAGACTAATTACATTTTGGATTGTAAAAAATCATTAATATGAATGTTCTTTAAAATGACACGTTTTACTGAAAATGTCCCATTTCTGTTAGAGCTTAGTTGCCACTGGCGTATTAAAAGGACTATCAAATACACTAAAAGGTAGCCAAGAGTAATTCTATTGACCTCAAGGTATTTTAAAGTAAAAGAGAAAGATATCAATTTGTTTATTTGACCTTTCCACATTTGAGTCATTGATTTGTTTGTGATGTCATAATGTAATCAATTCATCCATTCTGTTCATATTCAATGGGAGATAATATTATGTTTGTTAAAAAGGAATTTGAAAACCTGGAAGATCCAAAGTGTTGAAATGGGGGCAGCAAATCTATTCTGGTGTCTCCAACGTTTCCTTAGTAGAATTCATAGAAGAAATATAAAAGATGTTAATTCTGCAGGCCCAGGAACCAGTCTCAATCACTTTCTATGATCATGCAGTGGAGTACAGTAAGCTACATTAGCTATGATTCTCTATTGTATCTCAACAGAAAACATAAGACAAACCATCCCCTATCATCAGGGCCATAGGTAGTCACAGGTTATGCACTGAGATATAACAGGGATATTCTTTCCTCTCCTCCTGCACATGTCATCTGTCATGAGATGCATCATATTAAGGAATATGGAGCCTGATGGATTTGCAGAAGTCCATAGAACATTATTAGTTTTGACAGGAACAAAATAGTTTTGATATGTTTCTCCATAAGGCAGTATATGATTCACATATGTAAGTGATCCATTACCATGTAAATATATTCTGTATCTACTTGCTAGTAATCAGCAAAGCTCTACCAGTGTTTGTGTGGCAGGATTCTTTATAGATAGGACATCATGTTTGATCTAACTTCGTTAATAGGGCTGGCCGATATAATCATTGGCCCTCATAATCATAAGATGTGTTAGTTCATAAGTCATACTATTTAACACAGTTTAACTTGAGAAGATTATTCTAATTAGTACTAACCTAACATAGGTGATATATAACTAGTGTAGAATAGTAGTACACAGTTATAACAAACATGATAGAAAAAATATCATGGACATAACATACTGTTTTTTACTGACAAAAGCTTTACTAAAATATTACTTGTGAAAATTGTAATCCACAATAAATTGGGAGGAGCTCACACTTCATTTCTACACTGTAATTTTGATATGTTTCATTTGAAAAGAGGAATTATTTTGCTGATTGGAAAAGTAAAAGAATGTTGTGGTAACTTTTGAAGAGGAGTTGTTTCCCCTTTTTGTGTAAGCAATGACTGTTGACCTTGTTTAATGTCAAATAACTGTGGATAAGATCCATACATTGGTGCACATAGGTTATTCCCGGTGATTAAATCTCTTTGATACTGCTTTCGTATTTATATCTGATGTAATTATGATATAGAGATTATGTTTACTGTGATGTACATTGTACCTGTTCTGTTTAACCAGAGGTTGTAGCCAATGGTAATTGTGCTGGTTTACCTACTGATGCATGTCGGGAAAACTCTGTCTGTACCAATAATAAGTGTACCTGTAACACTGGTTACTATGACAATGATGGCAGTGGAAGTTCTGGTGTCTGTGTGCAAAGTAAGTTATTAATCTCATAGAATTTTAGGATGAAAGCAAAGCCTTCCTCATGACGATTCATTTGTGATCCCAACAGTCAATGACTGGAAGGGTATATTTGTCAGTCTGCGTCACGATTTCTGAACAATTACTGGTGGTTCCTTTTTGGACTGATCAAACTGAATCATCATAAACTACTTTCTTTTCAGGATTGCTTGCTTTGAATTGCTCTAAATGGTGGTGTCCTGAAGGTTGAATGGTCCCAATCACCATCGCTGAACAATAACGCAAATTCAAGACGACCAATCAAACTGAAACTTGACAACACTGCTCTCTTATGAGTTGTGCTCACTTTGTATTGGTTTTTGGGTCAAAATGTGAGAGGTCAATATTACTGTTACAATGAATTGAAAATAAGTTTCTTTGGTATATTTACCCATTTATTTATCAGAATCAATTGACTGAAAAAATCCAGAACTTCACAAAGTGCTACGTTACTGCCAAGGCTTGCTTGGGGTTGCTTAATTATAAGAGCATTGCCCTTTCTTAAAATTGTATGTCTGCAGCATATGTTTGCTTGCATTTAAATTGGGACATACAAAGAGGATGTGCGGTACTGTACCAAAGTCAGGGCCCATAACCTCTAAATTACTTAGGTAATGCCCTTTGTTAAAATTTTATGTTCAAAGCATAACTGTGGATGCATAAACATTGGTCATGCAATACAATGTGCAGTGTACCGATCAGGGTCTGTAATCCTTTAAATACAAAGTAAACTTCCTTTGTTCAATTGTTTTGTCCCGAGTATAACTTTACTTGCGTTTAAAATTGGTATGATTAAACTTGGTGTATTCCTTTATCAAACAGGCGAGATGTGCAGGGTACCAAAGTCAGGGCACCAACCCCTTAATTACAGAATTATTGCCCATTGATAACATTTTGTTTCCAATTAAATTGATTTTGGGAAGCATTTATCAGATTCACCGATAATTTTGTTTTAAGCTCTTTCTATTCGATGTGAGGGCATTATTATAGTGTTAGCTGTGTTTGTTTGTCATGTCCCATACAAGGCATTGGTTTCAAATGAATGTCATATATTTATAATCTCTCAACCGATTTGGTTTTTATTTACCTCATAGTGTCATTACATCAAATTTTACACCTAATGAGATTCTGATTAGCATAGAAGGGAGGACATTTATGTTCTATAGTCATTTTCTAATTGAGTAAAGTGGCAAAATGTATGAATAATAAAGGTCATTAAGATCAGACAGATTAATGTAATGATAAGTAAGACATGGTTAAATGTGATGACTAGACTAATTTTGGAAGTCATGAAAATTGGCAACATCCACATTAATAGCTTGTTAGATGAAATATGTTTACAAACATCTTTATTTTGATATCAGGTTTGTGATTAATGTCCATTTGATCTGCTTGATGTGAACCCCTTTAGACTTGTGAGAGGAGATATTGGTGATGTAGGGCAGAACTGTTCTACAGTTTATATCCTTGGTGATATGATGTACAAATCATAAAGTATTTAATCTATTGATATTATTCATATTAGGAATCAAGGCTGGAGAGACAGGTTGTACTGGTGTTATACCCAATGAGTGTACAGACATGTCTACCTGTAATAGTGGTACATGTACCTGTATTGCCAACTATTATGATGGTGGTGACACCTGTGTAGCAAGTAAGTGTGTAGTACAGCTGCACTAACACCGAGGGAGGGTGCTTCCTATGAGATTATAAAAATGCTTCAACTAATATCAAAGAAATGTATTGAGTATTTAAACCTTTAACACAACACTTGACTGTTGTCTATGGAGGCATGGTGGTCAAGTGGTAGGACATTGGACTGGTGATCGAAGGATTGCTCGTTTGACTCCAGAGAATGAACACTGTGTTAGATAATTCATGCTTTGTTCTTTCTGATGGAGAATAGAGATTAATGGGCAGTACTAGAAATATGGTATGCTAGTTGTAAGCATGGAATGGCAACTCTTACTGTGTGCTTCCCAGAGGGTTGAGAAAGGTTATTTCTTGTAGCAAAAAACCTACTACCCACAGATGATAATTTGTGAAAGGCTTTGAGACAATTGTTGCTAAGATGGAGTAGTTTATTAAGGAAGCTTGAGTTATTATTAACATGATCTTTCATAGATATCATTATAATATTGTGTCTGGATCAATTCTAAATTGGAAGACAACTTGTGAAGACTAATTACATTTTGGATTGTAAAAAATCATTAATATGAATGTTCTTTAAAATGACACGTTTTACTGAAAATGTCCCATTTCTGTTAGAGCTTAGTTGCCACTGGCGTATTAAAAGGACTATCAAATACACTAAAAGGTAGCCAAGAGTAATTCTATTGACCTCAAGGTATTTTAAAGTAAAAGAGAAAGATATCAATTTGTTTATTTGACCTTTCCACATTTGAGTCATTGATTTGTTTGTGATGTCATAATGTAATCAATTCATCCATTCTGTTCATATTCAATGGGAGATAATATTATGTTTGTTAAAAAGGAATTTGAAAACCTGGAAGATCCAAAGTGTTGAAATGGGGGCAGCAAATCTATTCTGGTGTCTCCAACGTTTCCTTAGTAGAATTCATAGAAGAAATATAAAAGATGTTAATTCTGCAGGCCCAGGAACCAGTCTCAATCACTTTCTATGATCATGCAGTGGAGTACAGTAAGCTACATTAGCTATGATTCTCTATTGTATCTCAACAGAAAACATAAGACAAACCATCCCCTATCATCAGGGCCATAGGTAGTCACAGGTTATGCACTGAGATATAACAGGGATATTCTTTCCTCTCCTCCTGCACATGTCATCTGTCATGAGATGCATCATATTAAGGAATATGGAGCCTGATGGATTTGCAGAAGTCCATAGAACATTATTAGTTTTGACAGGAACAAAATAGTTTTGATATGTTTCTCCATAAGGCAGTATATGATTCACATATGTAAGTGATCCATTACCATGTAAATATATTCTGTATCTACTTGCTAGTAATCAGCAAAGCTCTACCAGTGTTTGTGTGGCAGGATTCTTTATAGATAGGACATCATGTTTGATCTAACTTCGTTAATAGGGCTGGCCGATATAATCATTGGCCCTCATAATCATAAGATGTGTTAGTTCATAAGTCATACTATTTAACACAGTTTAACTTGAGAAGATTATTCTAATTAGTACTAACCTAACATAGGTGATATATAACTAGTGTAGAATAGTAGTACACAGTTATAACAAACATGATAGAAAAAATATCATGGACATAACATACTGTTTTTTACTGACAAAAGCTTTACTAAAATATTACTTGTGAAAATTGTAATCCACAATAAATTGGGAGGAGCTCACACTTCATTTCTACACTGTAATTTTGATATGTTTCATTTGAAAAGAGGAATTATTTTGCTGATTGGAAAAGTAAAAGAATGTTGTGGTAACTTTTGAAGAGGAGTTGTTTCCCCTTTTTGTGTAAGCAATGACTGTTGACCTTGTTTAATGTCAAATAACTGTGGATAAGATCCATACATTGGTGCACATAGGTTATTCCCGGTGATTAAATCTCTTTGATACTGCTTTCGTATTTATATCTGATGTAATTATGATATAGAGATTATGTTTACTGTGATGTACATTGTACCTGTTCTGTTTAACCAGAGGTTGTAGCCAATGGTAATTGTGCTGGTTTACCTACTGATGCATGTCGGGAAAACTCTGTCTGTACCAATAATAAGTGTACCTGTAACACTGGTTACTATGACAATGATGGCAGTGGAAGTTCTGGTGTCTGTGTGCAAAGTAAGTTATTAATCTCATAGAATTTTAGGATGAAAGCAAAGCCTTCCTCATGACGATTCATTTGTGATCCCAACAGTCAATGACTGGAAGGGTATATTTGTCAGTCTGCGTCACGATTTCTGAACAATTACTGGTGGTTCCTTTTTGGACTGATCAAACTGAATCATCATAAACTACTTTCTTTTCAGGATTGCTTGCTTTGAATTGCTCTAAATGGTGGTGTCCTGAAGGTTGAATGGTCCCAATCACCATCGCTGAACAATAACGCAAATTCAAGACGACCAATCAAACTGAAACTTGACAACACTGCTCTCTTATGAGTTGTGCTCACTTTGTATTGGTTTTTGGGTCAAAATGTGAGAGGTCAATATTACTGTTACAATGAATTGAAAATAAGTTTCTTTGGTATATTTACCCATTTATTTATCAGAATCAATTGACTGAAAAAATCCAGAACTTCACAAAGTGCTACGTTACTGCCAAGGCTTGCTTGGGGTTGCTTAATTATAAGAGCATTGCCCTTTCTTAAAATTGTATGTCTGCAGCATATGTTTGCTTGCATTTAAATTGGGACATACAAAGAGGATGTGCGGTACTGTACCAAAGTCAGGGCCCATAACCTCTAAATTACTTAGGTAATGCCCTTTGTTAAAATTTTATGTTCAAAGCATAACTGTGGATGCATAAACATTGGTCATGCAATACAATGTGCAGTGTACCGATCAGGGTCTGTAATCCTTTAAATACAAAGTAAACTTCCTTTGTTCAATTGTTTTGTCCCGAGTATAACTTTACTTGCGTTTAAAATTGGTATGATTAAACTTGGTGTATTCCTTTATCAAACAGGCGAGATGTGCAGGGTACCAAAGTCAGGGCACCAACCCCTTAATTACAGAATTATTGCCCATTGATAACATTTTGTTTCCAATTAAATTGATTTTGGGAAGCATTTATCAGATTCACCGATAATTTTGTTTTAAGCTCTTTCTATTCGATGTGAGGGCATTATTATAGTGTTAGCTGTGTTTGTTTGTCATGTCCCATACAAGGCATTGGTTTCAAATGAATGTCATATATTTATAATCTCTCAACCGATTTGGTTTTTATTTACCTCATAGTGTCATTACATCAAATTTTACACCTAATGAGATTCTGATTAGCATAGAAGGGAGGACATTTATGTTCTATAGTCATTTTCTAATTGAGTAAAGTGGCAAAATATATGAATAATAAAGGTCATTAAGATCAGACAGATTAATGTAATGATAAGTAAGACATGGTTAAATGCGATGACTAGACTAATTTTGGAAGTCATGAAAATTGGCAACATCCACATTAATAGCTTGTTAGATGAAATATGTTTACAAACATCTTTATTTTGATATCAGGTTTGTGATTAATGTCCATTTGATCTGCTTGATGTGAACCCCTTTAGACTTGTGAGAGGAGATATTGGTGATGTAGGGCAGAACTGTTCTGTTTATATCCTTGGTGATATGATGTACAAATCATTGATATTATTCATATTATGGAGAGACAGGTTGAACCTGTAATAGTGGTACCCCTGTGTAGCAAGTAAGTGTGTAGTACAGCTGCACTTGAGATTATATGCTTCAACTAATATCAAAGAAATGTATTGAGTATTTAAACCTTTAACACAACACTTGACTGTTGTCTATGGAGGCATGGTGGTCAAGTGGTAGGACATTGGACTGGTGATCGAAGGATTGCTCGTTTGACTCCAGAGAATGAACACTGTGTTAGATAATTCATGCTTTGTTCTTTCTGATGGAGAATAGAGATTAATGGGCAGTACTAGAAATATGGTATGCTAGTTGTAAGCATGGAATGGCAACTCTTACTGTGTGCTTCCTAGAGTTTAGGTTATAGCAAAAAACCTACTACCCACAGATGATAATTTGTGGTGATATATGATGTACAAATCATAAAGTATTTAATCTTACTAAAGGTAGCCAAGAGTAATTCTATTGACCTCAAGGTATTTTAAAGTAAAAGAGAAAGATATCAATTTGTTTATTTGACCTTTCCACATTTGAGTCATTGATTTGTTTGTGATGTCATAATGTAATCAATTCATCCATTCTGTTCATATTCAATGGGAGATAATATTATGTTTGTTAAGAAGGAATTTGAAAACCTGGAAGATCCAAAGTGTTGAAATGGGGGCAGCAAATCTATTCTGGTGTCTTCAACGTTTCCTTAGTAGAATTCATAGAAGAAATATAAAAGATGTTAATTCTGCAGGCCCAGGAACCAGTCTCAATCACTTTCTATGATCATGCAGTGGAGTACAGCAAGCTACATTAGCTAGGATTCTCTATTGTATCTCAACAGAAAACATAAGACAAACCATCCCCTATCATCAGGGCCATAGGTAGTCACAGGTTATGCACTGAGATATAACAGGGATATTCTTTCCTCTCCTCCTCCACATGTCATCTGTCATGAGATGCATCATATTAAGGAATATGGAGCCTGATGGATTTGCAGAAGTCCATAGAACATTATTAGTTTTGACAGGAACAAAATAGTTTTGATATGTTTCTCCATAAGGCAGTATATGATTCACATATGTAAGTGATCCATTACCATGTAAATATATTCTGTATCTACTTGCTAGTAATCAGCAAAGCTCTACCAGTGTTTGTGTGGCAGGATTCTTTATAGATAGGACATCATGTTTTCTCTAACTTCGTTAATAGGGCTGGCCGATATAATCATTGGCCCTCATAATCATAAGATGTGTTAGTTCGTAAGTCATACTATTTAACACAGTTTAACTTGAGAAGATTATTCTAATTAGTACTAACCTAACATAGATGATATATAACTAGTGAAAAATA